TTAAACCTTTTTTTTATTATAAACCCTAATTCTAGCCTGAATTCTAACTGAAAGATCTAATTCCGCAAATATTTACGAAATTCCTATCCGGGACAACCCGATTCTGAATCAGGATAATTCCAATCTGGGTACAACAAATATTTTTTGATAGTTATTGTACTACCGTTTTTGTAGTATATACAGTATATATTAGGAATTAGAAATCGGTTTAAGTTCAGAACTTATTATGGTCAACTTACACAAACGTGTAAACGTGCATAATTTTTGTCCGGAGCGAAGCAGAGGACTCATACTTCTATGCACTTTGATGACTAAAATTACGATTTTGGTGCATCTATAATAAAAAGATCAAAAAAAGTAGTTTCAGCATTTTCCGTCTGTAATGCCATGTGTCTATATTTGTACATTGTGTAAACAAAATTATGCACGTTTACGCGTTTGTGTAAGATGACAATAATAAGCTTTGGACTTAAACTGGTTTTCGGTTCCTAGTTTTACAGAAAAACCACTTTTTTATCTTTTTATTATAGATGCAGTAATTTCAGTCATCAAAGCGCATAGAAGTATGAGTTCTCCACTTCGCTCCGGGCAACAAATATATATAAAAAAAATCATACGTATATATATATAGTAATGATGATTGGCGGAAGTCTTGATCGTACAAAAAAGGGGGTGATCTGCAACATCCAAATTTGGTGATATCCAAGACTAGTATATGAAATCTTTACAGAAATTATGGACCTGGAATTTTAAAATTCTGTTGAGAGCCTTAGGCATTTCTGCTAGAAAGTTTCGAAATTGAATAAAATTTCTCACGCTTATTATAGCTACACAAAATCGTGTTATTTGATTGGTCAACAGTACTTTCCTCCAAATATTTGCTAAAAAAAATATCTAAATAAAATTTTGCAATTTCATAGTCAAATTTCCCGGGTCCCTGGTGGTGATTTTATCCCTGTTCCCGTTGGGTGACCCGGGTCATATTTTTTTAAATGAGTCCAATTAATCTAAGAAAGTTATTACTGCATTACGCAAGAATAAGGTAATTATTTTAACAATAGAATAATACTAAAGTATGTGTAAGTTTAAAGTAACTCTGATATGCATAATTTATGTGCAAAAGTTTAATGAAGTAAATATAACGATAACAAATGTTATGTATTTTCGTAATTTTATCATATTGTATTGTAAAACAAAGCTCGTGTAACAATGTTTTTCAATATAAAATAGCCAACCAAACAAACTACAAACTTCCCACGCACACTTAGAAAATTTGTTTATGGATCGCGAGAAAGAAGAGTCACAAATATACATAGCAATAGAAGAGTATTTTAAACGAACGGAAAAGTGGACGTTACTCAATTTTCTCTATTATAGAAAAGATTGTAATGATTTTACATATCTTAAAAGGCGAGAACATAGGTTATACAAATCGTCTTTGGCCTTAATTTCTGATATCTTAGCCGAACATTGTCTTAGCAATTTTGAGGTTAGGTATAGTAAGATAGAAATTCGTTTTGATTGGATACTTGTTTTATATTGACAAATAATGTTACACGAGTTTTTTATATTATTTTA